CTCCCATTCGATCCCCATTCCCGTCGTAATTTATCCCTAAACGTGAGCAAGATCACGCAAGGGCGCGGAATATCGTCGAATCGCCACGAATTTCCCGGCGGGACGCGTTCGTCATTCGAGTATATTTAAAAGGCGGCCGATCGCGGGTAAAAAAATATCGAGGCGGGCGGATGAAAAATAGGCGATGCTTGTTCCCCTCCCGTGGCCTCGAGGAACACGCGCCAACCGCTTTCGTCGATCGTTAGAGGCACGGATCGTTCGTGAACGAAAATCGTATTACCGCGTATCAATTCGCGATATTACGCACACCGGGGCGGGACTCGTGCGAAAAAGGCCGCGCGCGCGCGCGCGCGTGTGTCTATGTGTTTTGGATACGTATCGACAAAGTGAAATTTACGTCGCTCGGGGCGAGAGCGGCGCGCTGAAATATTATCGGTTTGCTTCGCGTTTGCATATTCATGCGTGGGCCAGCGAGGACGAGGATGGAAAAACTGAAATCGAGAGAGAGAGAGAGAGAAGTGGAGGAACGAAGGGGAGAAGCGTGATGAAAAGGCGGGAGGAGAGGATAAAGAAGAGCTTGACGGGGTTGAAGAAAAATACGGGGAGAAGGGTGCGAGTGGTGGAAATCGAAATGGAGAAACATGGCGGGTGGGTGGAATGTGAGAGCGGTGATTCCGGAGAGTGGGATAAAGAAGAATTTAGTGGTATGAAGAGAAATGTAGGGGGAGGAAGTGCACATGGGTCAGAGGGGCGGTGGTATATGGTGAATGGTTAAGGAAGATGGGGGAAGTTGGAGAAAGTGCGATGCACGTGTCGCCCGATAAGTTGTCAGTTTTTACAGACGAATCCATTCTCTTCTTCTTGGAATTCATCTTGAGATACGATCGTGATACGCAGCGAGGGAAGAAGAGGTGAATCATCGTTGCCTCGGGTATGGAAGACGCCATTGTCTTCCATTGTCGGCAACGTCCGAGTCTATTAACGAGATGAAGAAGAAGGAGAATGGGAAGATGTCGAAGAGGTGAATAGAAATCTTTTTGTTCACGTATGAATCGAACGATTCGAAAGAACGGGACTTTCACGATCGGTTTAAGATTCTATTTACGCGTAATGCTCTTGGAGGAGGATGTTTCGAATAAGATGTTCGAGAGAAACGTTTCTCCTTTGCTGAGAATATATATTTTAAATAAACGTGATACAATTGGTGAGTGTGAGATATACCATGGGGAAAACAATTTTCAGTTTTATTAGGTATACGCGTATCGAATTTTGAATCGCGACGAAGAAACAAGTTATTCGTTCGTTTGTCCAAGAGAAGAAATTTAAACGGAACGAACGAATTATTTCGCGGGGAATGGCGTGATTCAGTGCTTGTGCATCACGTAGAGAATGGTCCAATCCTTTAGTCACGTAATATTCCCATGCACGTGGCCGTATCTAAACTCGTAACCGAAATTACTCGTTATTGTACGTCTTCTTGTAACGGAGAACGTGAGGTCGGACTCGCACCGGCTACACGATTAATTGTTGTTCGACTCTTACTACCGCCAATAACTGCACGTTCCTAGGATTTCGATGAACAGTCGCGAATTTTCTCTAATTTCACGATCGTTCTCGCCAGATGTTAAACGCCCAATAATTCCATTGTGAGAACTTACGAGGATTTAGAGCGGATGAAGATGAAAGTTGCGCGAAATCGAGGCGGAATCGGTTGACTAATTATTTATACTCGAGTATTTGAGTCGTACAATTTCGAAATCGTTTGTTCGCGCACCCTTCTTTGCAAGAACGAAAAGGCGAAAAATCGAGAGTTATAGAGGCGAAAAGGAACGAGTGAGCGGAAAATGGAAATGGACGCACAGTTTCGATCCTGGACGAATGCGAAGTACAAAGGGATGGATATTAACGGTGGATTCGAAAGCACTCGGGTCGGCACTTCCTGTTTAATGTTTTATCGTAGCTTTAAAATTCAGGAACGGACGCTCGGAAGTCGGTCACCGTCGTAAAAAATTACCGTACATTTTTTAAAAGCCTCGGCTGATCGGCCAATGGGGCGGTTCGATTAAATCGCGCCGCATAAAAATATCGCGTTGTTAAATGCCCCGTTTCTGCGATGCTCGAGCGGAGAACGTGATACGACTTTGTTAAAATACAAGCTGGCAGAGCAGAGGGCGAATGGAATATTTGAAAAAAAAAAAAAAATCTCGATGGAGTGAAATCAAATCGAAACGAAATCAATGGTGTCCAATGATGCAAACCGCAAAACCCGAGGCAAAAATAATAATTATATTGATGGCAGCGAGGCGCGTTTGAAAACCGGAAGGAAGGGTGGAAAAATATTCATTTGGCGTAAATTTGTATTTCGATAGTCAGATAAATTTACACACTCATAAATATTTCATATTAATGAGTATAATACGAAACGTATAGAACGAAATCGAAAAAAATTACGCCAATAATAATAATTCCCTCGATTTTTACGGTAGAAAAATTATTTATCCGATTGAACTTAACGATCGAACTTTTGAGAAGGAGGAGGATATCATTCGATATCAATCTTTTTCAAATGAACGAAAGTATAGAAGATACGTGTACGAGGATCCATCTTGTTTTTTTGCTTATTTTCCGATCTAAGGCGAACGATTGATTTTTAAGATGGACGATGTTTCGATCGAAAGCCATTAAAAAAATATTCAAGATTGGCTATCACGATAATTTGAATAACAACGTAAAATTGGTTATCGAAATTACGCTCGAAATTAATTGCACTTCTAAAATTTCGATATTCCTTTTCAATTAATATTTTATCGTGATATGTATTATATAACGCGAACCAATAATTATTCACCCCTTTTTAATTGATGTTTACGTTGAAACATAGGCAATCAATGGAAATACACGCAATTTCAGATATTAACTTACATTAAATTATATATTTTATCTTTAACAATCATTCCCATTTTTTATTATTTCTACAGAACCATTTTTAATTAATGCATTTCGTTAACATTTGAAATTAATAATTTTCAATTGAAAACATTACTTGATGTTACGCATACACGCTCAAATTTTATCACATAACGTTACTTATGTTTATTTATGCGATTATTCCATATTATTTATTACACGCATGATTTTTGTAATAAAATTAAATTTAAAAAAATAAAAAATCCCTTTCATCTCGGATATTTCAATGGCCCAACCAACCCAATGACACTACTCGTTGCACTGCAAAAATCTGACGTTTCGATAATCTCTCTATTCTTTATCCACGTAAAATTCGCCCGCATTATAAATCAATTTTCTCATTAGAGGGACCAATGCTATCCAATATTTCGGGCAGGGATTCACTTTTTCAATTTTGCTTGCAATTTCACGAACCTCCATAAACCACTGGCGTATATCAAAGCGCCATTTCGAAATCCGTTGTATTTAATTTTGCGATTCGGAGGATCCGGGGGGGAGGGAAGCCTTGAATCTCGACGCACTCGATGCCGATGGTATAAAGAGTGAATCGCGTGATTCTCCGCTCCCTGTTCCCTGTTTAATCCGTGAATTTGAATATCGTCAATCCGTTGGCTCGATCAGAAATTCGGGCGCGAGTGTAAAATGCCGGCCACGGTGCGATCGTATTCGAAAAAATATTTTCCCTCTAATCCTCCTGGCCCCGTCTGTTCCCCCACCGCTTCTTCCTTTCTTTTTTTTTTTTTTTTTTTTTTACTTTTTCGCTCTTCAGTTCCGCATCGTTCATGAATATGGAAAATCAGACCTTTCGGTGTGACGCGATCCATAACCCGCCTGCCTCCCTGCTCTCTCTTTCCACTTTTTCTCCCACCTTTTTCCTTTTCTCTCTCTCTCTCTCT